GTTGTGCTCCGTGGGCTGTTCATATCCTTTCCTGAAGTATGCCGGCCTGTGAACTTAAACCCAATGCTTCCTCAGCAAGAGCATCCCCTCTCCCCGTCGCCCTACCCCTAGTAATTTCTGTGTGCTTGCCTGTCTGTGTGAGTGAGAGCGTACAGTTGTAGCGGATGTATCTTACCAGCCCCGCGTTTTCAAGGTCGCTCCGTGTGGTGGCGCTCACCAGCCCTGCCTGTCCCCTTACTTATGGCCGAGTCATACTCCAGTAACTGGCCACCGCACTCTGCCTAGGGGCCGTCTCCGCCCCTGGTTCTTGAGTCCTCTGGGACTCGGGGTGCAGGAGGGACTCCTTCTGGGTACTGTCCTTTTTTGTTGTTGTTGTTTATGTGTAAGAGAGCTTTATATCATAGAGCAATTACATATTGAGAAAACATCCCAGCTCAGTCCAGATCAAGTGCATAAGTCCGATATTAGCCCATATGTCTGATAATAGTCTATACATTCCTCTTCAGATTCACACAGCGCATGCAATGGTGGTGAATGCAGGAAGATCACAGGCTGGTGGGTGAAAAGTCTTGTGGATCCAGTAGCAGTGGAAGCATCTCAGGGCTGTCGAGGGTCTCCGTGTGGCTCCTCAACAGGAAGGTGATGATGCAGAGAGGAAATTCCCAGAATCGTCATGAGAAGTTCAAGCCCACCAGGAGGCATCATCAGGCTGTGACCTGATTGACAGGCTAAACTCCACCCCTTCACATATTTATCAAGTTGATGTGAAATTACGTAAGTACCACAGTGGTTCTCAAAGTTGGTGGCATACTAGAATCACCAGGAGATTTGTTGTTGTTGTTGTTGCTATGTTGTGCCATGGAGTAGATTCTGACTCACGGTGACCTTGCTCATTTGGCGCCCTGATGGTGCTGTCCCATTAAGTGCTAGGCTGCCTGCTAACTGAAAGGTAACAACTGAAGTCTGTCAACTGCTTCTGAGGGTACTGTCATTTTAAGAGCCTGACAACCTGCTTCTGCTTCCTCCCTCTGTGTGACATATGTCCATCTTTAAGGGGCCTTGTGCAGGAGCCCTGGTGGCTTAGCGGTCACACATTGGGCTGTCATCTGAAAGGTCAGCAGTTCAAAACTAGTAGCCACTCCAAGGGAGAAAGACAGGACTTTCTACTCTTAAAAAGAGTTCCAGCTACAGAAGCTCACAGGGGCAGCTCTGATTTGGCATGGACTCGGCGGCAGTGAGGGATTTTTAATCATGCACCTGTCAGCACCAGGGGCTGGGCTACACATAGACCTTATTGGTTTCTCCCAGTACCCTTACGATACAGATGTGATTGCTAGTCCCGTTTTAAAGACACGGAAACTGAGAGGCAGGAGGGCTAAGCCCCTTCCCTGATTTACACACAGCTACCAAGGGCAAGACGGTCTGAGCCCACTACTCACCACTCTCTTGAGTGTCACTGGTTCTTGTCCGTAGTCCTATCCTCCCTTTACAACGCCCCGTTCCTCTCACTAGCCATTGCTCTACTCCCAAGATTCTCGCAACTTCTACTCCAGTAAAAGTTCTTTCCTACGCTCTCTGGGTCTCTGTCATGGATTGAATTGTGCCCCCCCGCCCCCCAATACCTGTCAACTTGACTGGGTTGTGATTCTCTGGTTTGGCAGTTATGTAATGATGCGACCATCCTGATGATGTGATCTGTTGTGATCAGCCAACCGGTTGTAAGGTGATTAGGGTGGGGTGTACGACCCTTACTCAGACCCCAGAGTTTCCCTGGGGTGTGGCCGGATCATCTTTTGTCTTACAGCTGAGAAAAGGAGAAACGTGAGCAGAAGAGAGCCATCCAGAAACAGAACCTGGAAAACAAGCGGCCTTCTAGCTCGGAAGCAACAAAGCCCACATGGAAGAAGCACACCAGCCTGTGCGATCACGAGGTGTCAAAGGAATCAGTATCAGGCATCATCAGAACAAAAAGTCCTATCATTGTGACTGAGAGGGAGTGCGGAGTGGGGACCCAAAGTCCATCTGTAGGCAACTGGACATCCTCTTATGGTAAGGTGA